GCAGGCGCGCGGCCTGCACACCAGAGCGCGATGCTGTGGCAGCGGCACCCAGGCACTTCCTCTGGAAGTCCCGCCAGTGAGGCTGAAAGCGCCTCGTCATGGGCCTGGTAGCGCCGGTGTCCCTGCACCAGCGGGCCATGGCGATGGATGTGCCTGGCGGCAGGGCCTCTGCCCTTGCGAGGGCAGGGGAGTGGAGGCACCCCTGGCGTGCAGGGCTCAGCAGGTCGTGCCCCGACCTGGCCCCGCCGGCTCCTCCTTGCACCTCCGGCCACCTCGGGGTGAGAAAGAGATGTCTCTTCTTTAAGCTGCCAAGTCCGTGGCCTTTTTAGGGGGGCGGAAGCAGCAAACACCCTGAATTAGCCCTTCCCTGTGGGCGGGCTGGGCGGGCTGTGCTCCTTTCCCTCGGCCCAGGCCGGTGCGGAAGGACCAGGTGAGACCTGCACCAGAGCCGGGAACCCAGACCTGAGGACAGACGGCACATGCGTCCTGAAGGGCGAAGCCGGCCTGCCAGCAACGGTCAGACGCAGCAGGAAGAGGAGGTGACAGGAGGCTGAAGGCACAGCAGAAGGGAAGCAGGACGGTCACCCTGGAGGCACCAGCTCTCTCAGCGGCGGGAACCAGGCGGCAAGGGGGACGCAGGACACAGGAGGCAGAAGGCCTGGTGTGCTCCAGGGGCGCTGCTGGATGGGGTGCGAAGGCAGTTTGTGGGTGGGGAGGGGAGGGGCAGCGTCGGGGCAGCGTCTGACCAGCGCGGAGGTTGCGCTTGTCACAAGTTAAAGCTCCTTAATCATATGAGGCCTGTCCAGGAAGTATCCAGCCTTGGAGTATGAAAAAGAGATGTTTATTGAAGAAGATGCAAGATACAAGAAACGTTGTACACAGGACGAGGACACCTCAGTCCCCTTCAGTGTAGGCCCCTCGGGCCCTCACACAGTTCTCTCAATCGCCATCAGCTGCCCTGTTGTATTTTCCTGAGTCTCATGGATGGCCCGAAATCTCTTCCCTTTCAAAGGTGATTTTTAGTTTTGGAAAAAGCCAGAAGTCACAGGGCACTAAATCTGGGCTGTAGGGTGGTTGAGTGCCCTGGGTGATCTGATGTTTCTCCAAAAAACTGCACGAGATGTGATGCGTGAGCGGGTACACCGTCGTGATGAAGCTGCCAGTCACCAGTTGCCCACAGCTGCGGCCTCTGAATCATCCCAGTAGTTCCCAAGGAGGAATGTTCAAGCCTAACGCAAAATGCGATGCAGATTCGTTGCTCTACTTGCTCGTCATTTTGAATACAACAGCCACACAGTGCACATGCTCACTCTACAGCGTCTACCACCTGCACTAATACAGTGAAGTCACCCTTGTTCACACATGCACATTCCAGTCCACTCTCCTTGGCTGCCAGGTCACGTCAATGTCGTGGAAACTGTTCTCGTTGTATTAACAGTGGCCAGACATATTTCAGACAGACCTCAAGTATTTCTTTTCTAAAGTCAAGTTTTAGTGATGCTTTAGAGGGCCACATAGGTGGCACACTTACACAGTTTGACACTAAGCTCTGCCAGGGAGGTTCCAGGAGGCCAGCGGCTCTCCTCTCCATCCTCCTACCCCAGCACTGCCCTCCTGCGGCCTTTGTCTTTCCTAGTCTGATGTTGCAACGTCACACCACGTTGCGCCTTGTCTTCCGCCTGCCCACAGGCATTGGCTTCCTCCAGCAGAAGGGCGGAGCAGGACTGAGGCTCTGGGCCTGTGTGGGTCGGGTGCTACTCAGCACTCTCTGCCAGCATCTTAGCGCACAGTTTAGAGTGTGGAGAACTCGAGTGGGCATCCGAGGACTGGTAGGGGGCGGAGAGGACAGTGGGCGCTGGGGAGGAGCCAAAGGAGCCGTTGCTGGGCCTGCAGTGTCCGGGACCAGCTCTGGGACACTGCCTCACTAGGGACAGTGCTATCTCACAGGCAACAAGCATCCCAGGACACAGCTGTATGGCAACATCTCTGTAAACTAAAAAATGCTCAATAAATGGCAAGCACTATAGTCACTAATATCTCAGTCACTTTTACCAAATCAAACTGAACCTTGGGTACTAACACTAAAGACAATCACATTAACACTGTTACCACCGAGTTCCTTTTCTTCATTACCGTTTTCATGTGTACATACTCAGAAGTACTTTTTAAATTGGGTTTGGGGAAGCCCGTGGTGAATGCTAACTGCAGCAGAGAATTTTCCATGGAACTGCTGTGTGCTTATGAGTTTTTTCCCCAGCACAGGGAAAAGCATTCATAATAAAGTCATTTGCTATTATGATTCATCCAGCTGCTATTGTCAAAAGAAACAGCGACCCTCTGCATTCTTAGGAACTCCTTAGAGATATTCTTTGCTTTTGATGTTTGGTCTCAATTACCTTTCTTTTAGCAGTTTTTAAAGTTTCTGGAGATGTTTCTGGAGCCCTTGTGTTATCTGAGCATGCTCTCTTGCATCTCAGCCTTTACCTCTCAAACCCCTTTCTCATTGTCTCTTGGCATTTTACAGTGATGTACAATTCCATTTGTACTGTTACAATGACTCTGAGATCTCTGATGTGTGTTCCTTCATACCCAAGCCTGTTTTTTTCTCGCTGAATGCTTATAGCACTTGCTTCCCAGTGTCCTGAAAAATGTCACCTATAGGTACTCCAAAAAGGGGATGGGTGGGTCTTATAATTAAATATGTTTGGGAAACACTGGGTCACATGTACAATGCTCTGTATGTTTTATGATTTTAGGATTGCTTATGTGCACACTGAACCTTCAACGCTTACTTGGCATTTTCCAAATGTCTTTACCAAGAAGATCCGTTTGAGTTCATGGGAAACTGAGTAGCATCCTGGGAAGTGTTCTGCAAAGCCCAGTTTGGGGTATGCTAGCTTATTTTAATTACATTTACATTTAAACTCTTAAAAGAAAAGGCCAGCATCTAGGCAAGGGTCTCTTTTCATCTTTTTGTTTGTTTTAGTCAGGAATGGAGGATTCGCTCTCTCATTTTTTTTTTTTAAATTGTGGTAAAATATGCATAGCAAAATTTAGTGATTTACCCATTTTTTAAGTGTCCAGTTCCGTGGTATTAAATACAGCCACATTATAGGGCAACCATCAAATGTTCCCTTTGAAACTGCACTCATTTTCCCTTCTCATCATAAAAAAGTTCTCTCAAATTTGCAGAAGAGCACACATCTGCCAGAGCACCTCTCCTCGACTCCCTGGCTTGCCTTCCTCTGTCTCAGGAATTCTGCATCTGGTGACGCAGCTGTTCCCTCCGCTCGCCTGCTATCAGGGCCCACACCCCTTTCACTTGCCTTCTGAGATGTTCCTCAAGTTTGCCCTTGACGATTCTGCCCTTTGCTGCTTTGATGTTTTAAACCACTAGATGTGTTTTAGTTTCTTTGCCTTCCTTCCTTCCTCCCTCCCTTTTCTCTTTCCTTCCTTCTTTATTCTACTGATCTTCTTTTTAGCTTATCCTGTTATCATCTTCTTATCCCTGCTTGCTCTTTATGGTTTTCAGCTTCATAAATACCGTGATTTCTCAAATCTCACTCTGAACAATGGGAGCCTTTCTGCATTGTGTTTTACTCCCGTTATGAGATACTTTCCCAAGCTCTGTGCCTGCGGCGAGCGTCCCCCTTCCCCTTCCTGAGGAACGTTTGCGCAGGGGCTCTGTGGAGCTCATCCTCCCTCCTCACTGGCAGTGAGGCGATGCCTGGGAGCGGGCGAGAGTGCCTTCGCAGAGGTGCCTGCGGCTGCTGGGCAGGGCCCACCAACTTCTCCAGACCCACCTTTCAGAGGAGAGCTGGCGCCCGCGCAGGTGGGGCCTTCCTCTCCGGAGCGACACCGGGGATCAGCGGGACAGGGACCGTGAGCAGCCTGATTCCTCGTGCATGGGGCCCCTGCTGCCACACCGCCGAGCCTTGCCCGCCTGGCCTGGCCCTGCTCGGGGTGCAGGGGGCAGCTCTGCCAGCCCTGCCCCGCTTCCTGCCTGAGGGCTGTCTCCGTGTGAGCTGTGGTCTCCACGCTGTCACAGACTGAGCGATCGGCGGGGTGGGGGGTGGTGGTGGTGAGCAGCTGGAAGGGGAATGAAGGGTCGCAGGGGCCGGTGTGACAGCAGCACCCGGGGCGGGGTCAGGGGAGGTGTGTGCTCGATGCGCTGCTGTCCGATGGGGGCCCAGCTTGGATTTCTCCGTGTGAGCAGGGCTGGGGTGGTGGAGAGGAAGGGCCAGTCCCTCGATCCGGGTGCGCCTGGCATGGGTGGTCACTGGCCTGCTTTCGTCTGGTCTCATCCGTTTCTGAGCTTGTAGGAATTCCTCCAGATTCTGTGAATAGGCTGGACGTACATCCTAGTTTTGGGGATTTTTGATCCTGCCTTTTTGCATCGTTGTTGGTTATTCAGTGAGAAGTGAGAGGAAGCTTCTAGCAGATGCCATTTTCAAGTCTATAATTAAATTCTTGACTTTGATGGTGGGAAAGCCCCGTGAAATAATTTCTTTCTGACTGTTGATGCACAATGACAGTGTGCAGTAATGTAAGGCAGATGGGTTTGGGATAAGAACAGACAGGGGGTAAGTCCCAGTCTCCTTACTTAGCAGTTGTTGTATCTCGGCACGCCACTCATGGACTGGGTCTGCACTTACTTTTGTACTTTCACAATCAAGCCAGAGGAGTAGGCGTTTCAGTCTTGTCTGTTCTGAGTCTACGTGCGTATGCCAAAACACTTGCTTTAAAAAAACCCAATGAAGTCAGTTACAATTACTTTGGAAACCGTACTTGGTTTCTTGGGCGTTGTAGCAGACCCCCAACCCCCAAACAAAACAAAACTGCATTTTTAAAGCTTAGATAATGGTCTTGAGAGGGCTGGACTGAGGAGATGTCCAGAACTCTATGCGCTAGTTTTTACTAGCTGAGTGGATTTCATATGTTCAAAAATCTGCCACACAGATTAAAAACCAGCTTAATTAAAACAAATTATTTATTCCAAGTTCCATCCGTTTAAGGTTTTTCAGAAGTTATTACAGAAGTGAACACTGAAATCAGAAACAAGTGTTAACAGCTGCATCATTTACAATAAAGTTAACATCCATATGCCTCTGATTTAGAAGATTCGAGGTATTTCCGTCACTCGGAATCCATGAGGAAAGTTTCGAAGTCTGGGTCCAAGTCGGAGACGAGGGCACTCACAAAGTCATCCACAGAAGGACGCTTCTGCAGCATTCCTGCCGACAAAGACAGCGTCAGCCAACACGTCCAACCCTGGACAACGGGGGCGGGGGACAAGGACGGTTCAAGTCCGCACTCAAGGGGAACATCTGGAGTTCTGAAACCAGAGCGTGGCTCCATACCCTGCCCGTGAGAACAGTACAAAAAGTCACGGGCAGTGTGTAGGTCCTGCAGACATTTATGATTTTAATGCCTTTTTCCTCTCTAATCAAAACTTAGCACAGAGAGTTAGGCCCAAATAGGTTCCCCAAGGGCTTTTATTTTGCAGATAGTACTATAACAGTTGAAGTAATGTTAGAGGACTGAATTTTTAAAGTTATCTTTGACTGAGTTGATTCAGAATTTAATAAGTTTAATTACTTACCAGGTTTCATTATTAAGGTTTATTCACTTTAAAAGCAATCAAGTGTTAATTTTTTCCCCCCCAGAAATCTTATAGAGTCAAGTGATTGGTTTTCCTCTAATTTCCCTGTCCTGGACAACTCCTAGTTTTGTGACTGTGTAACATGGAAGTCACTAAAAACCTCCCGTACTCAGATGTCCTCATCTAATATACCAGGCTGCTATGAGATAAAAGAAGAAGAGGCAGTGGAAAGCAATGAGGTACCATGTCTAGCACATATTAACAATTTAATAAAAAGCTGAATTTACCTCCATTTTTCACTCTGAAGAGAAAGATTCGACCAACCAACCTCGCTGCCCCGACCCCTATTCTTGGCAGGCAACCCTAACTCAGGGCTGACCAGGGCTCTGAATACGGGCACTTAACGTGGGGGATGGAGCCCAGAAATCTAATTCCAACACCGACACATGAAAAGATCACCAGAGTCCGCTATTATCCTCTAAGTCTTTAACGTCATTCAGTGAACATGCCTTGAGTACTTGCTGTGTTAAAAATCAGGCCAGGTCATGGTCATGCAAAGACCAAAGATGAACAGGCAAAGTCGCACAAGATGGCAAGGACATGTCACTAAAGCAAACCTGTGGAACTAGATACATCCAGATGGCGGAAAAAACTAACCTTGATCCCTACCATATACTGTACGTAAAAATTAATTTGAGACGGGCACAGGCCTAATTGTGACAGCTGAAGTTATGAAGTATCTAGAAGGAAATACAGATATCTTCGTGACTTTTAGGGAGGCGACGATTTCTTAGGACACAAAGTAATAACCACAGAAATTGATGAATGTTATCAGACTGAAAAACTTCCACTCTTCAAAGATACCTCACATAATACTGGTATCCAGAATATATCACGAGTCCTTAAACTCGTCATAAAAATACTTTGTAAAAAGTTACAAAATGGAGAAAAGATTGAAGCAGATCTTCACAAGACAACCCATAAACACAAAAACCTAACAGGCACCGAGAAGACAAAATGTCACTGTCCCTGGGGAAAAGAAAGTTAAAACCACACATAGTATGACACCATAGTGTGCCCACCAGAACAGCTGAAAAAGGCTGACAATGGCAAATGCCGACAAGGCTGTGGGCACCTGAGCTGTCACACATCAGTGCTGAAATGACACTCCTTTGGAAAAAGGTCTACTGGTTTCTTATAAAACCAAGCACAAACTTACCCGGTACACCAGCAACTCCATCCTAGATAGCTACCCTGAGGAAATGAAAGCAAGCCGACAGAAGGAACTTCGCCTCCCCACACTGGGAACCACACAGGCTTCCGTGCACAGGATGCAGCTGAGCACGGGTGGTGTGCGCATGCCACGGAACGTGACTCGGCCACGCAAAGCGCTGGCCCGCGAGGCAGGCGAGGATGCAGGTGTGCCTCATGCAGTGCATTGAGTGCCAGAAGCCTTATACAAGGGGGCACGTGCCGTTGGATCTCATTAGTACAGAGTTCGAAAATGGACCACTGAATCTGTGGTGTGAAAATCGAACAGTGGCTGCCTTTGAGAGTAGAGATGGCGAGTGACTGGACAGGGACACAAGGGGACTTTCTGGTGTGATGGCGATATTGAACTCCAGTTGATGCCATGCGTGCAGAGGTGTCCAGGGGTGAAATGTACTGACGTCTGCCACCTGCTATGAACAATACATATGTATGTGTGACCCACAGCATATATATGCTACAAGGATGGGAGGAAAGAATGGGGAGCTGGGTGTGTGGGAAAGCAAACATAGCGAATGTTAACTGTAGAACGTTAATGGCAAGTATATGAGCGCTGACTGTATTATTCATTCAATTCTGTTGAACGCTGGAAAGTTTTCAGCATAAAATGTCCGGGCAAGGGGAAACTGTGGATGTTAGGGACATACAGAGAGCAGCTGGCGGGGGAACAGGAGGGAGGGGAATCCTGATGGGGAGGTTCAGAGGCCGTGGGGAGGGGCTGGAACCTGAGCGGGGCCTTGGCAGGTGGGGACGGTTTAGGTTCGAATCAGGGCCTTCCGGTGGGCAGGGCATCAGGAAGGCCGAAGGCTGGGCAACGCCCAATTCTGGCCTCTGCGTCTCAGGCCGTATCTGAGAAAGCAGCAGCAGCTGCTGAAAGAACATTCCGTTGCTCTGTCTGTATTTGCGACACTGAAGCTCACAATACATCTTTCTTTTTGCAGTAGAACAGTCCTGACGGGTGGGAGGAGACCTCTCACTGGTCCCGCTGTGCTAGTGACGGAAGCGGGGAGACTTTGCGGGTGGGCAGAGCAGCCCCTTTCACATTGCTACTCCAGCGGACACACCGAGGGGTCAGTCTGGTGTCGGGCCTTTCCTGGGTGCCGGGGTTCTTAACACGGAGGCCAGCTGTGGCAAAATGTGCCTTTCAGTCAAACGAGTTACCCCAGCACAACATCGCCTTCCTTTTAGCGTGTGAAACATTCTACAATGACTAGAACTGTCAGGAGCTAAAACCATTTTATTCAGAGTGAATTTATTCAGTTCCGCGTGGCCCTCCTGTACCTTTGATGTGGCTCATTTCAGCTCAACTGACTGCCAAGGTCAACATGGCCTTGCTCTGTCCCTCCCGGCAGACAGCCCTGACAGCTCACATCCTTCTCGGGTTCCCCGTCCGCAGTCGCTTCTGCCTCGCACAGAAGGGCAACTGCGGCCACAACGGAAGAAAAACATATACACTCGGGGCATTTTAAAATAAAATCTGGTCAGAGCTAAGTGGTTTGGTAATTTTTTGTGTGATGTGATTGCCAAGGATGAAGGTTCAGAAAAGAGGAAATCAGAACCAAAGGGATAAAGAATAGCTACCGGGGCAAGAATTCGCTTGGTATATTGTTATCGTATCCTCGCTTTAATTAGGTTTAAATGTTTTGCAAGTGTCAACATGAACTAACTTCTACGTGGAATTAAAAGAAAAGCACAATGTTTTCAAGAAGTTCAACAAATAAGAGAAATTGAGGTTAGCTTTTATATGTATGTGTACAGTCAAAAAAATTCCAAAAACTTTTTTTTCAAAGCTGATACAAATGTCCCTTTTGTCTTCAAGTCTTAGTCTTAAAAAGGGCTATGACTAGACGTGGCATCCCTTGGGAGCCCCTGGGGAAGAGGTTGGAGCTGTTTAGTCCGTAAGTGGGTGGAGTTTACAAACCTATTTTGCTGTGGAAATCACCTAAATGAAGGGGGGTACCTGGACTGATTTTGCCAAATGTACTGAAACCAACGAAGGATGTTACAACTCGGAGCAGGGACGTGCTGATGATGGCGGCAAGGGGCACAGGACAGCATGCGGTGGCCCGCTGCGCACATGGGTGCACGTGAGGGAGGCTGGCCGCGGGGTCTCGACTGCCTGTCCTCTCGGGGCATGCAGGAGACGTAACGAGTAGCTGAAGAATGATGCTTTTATGTATTTTTCTACTCATTTTGCCTGAGGGGCAACAGGTTGATGAACTGACCAGGAAGGATGCACTGATTTTTCACTTAACTAAACAATTAGTTTCTCAAATGAAATGGGAAGCAATCTTATGAAACAACGGAAGGGCTGTTTGGGGCCCTGTTCATGGTCCTGCGGCCTCACCAGAGCGAGGGGCTGCAGCAAGAGCCCCGGGGAGGGTCGGGCGGGGCGCCCTGGGCTTGGACATTGGGGCGAGTGAGGAGAGAGGCACCAACTGGACCTCTGAGAGGCCCAGGGACCTCCCAGACAGGAGGGCTGGCTTCACAAGTTAGTGGCAGTATTTGTATTAAAAAAAGGAGCAGCGTCTGCTCCATGAGAGGCGGCCCCTGGGAAACGGCGCAGGGTCTCTCGGTGACCACCCCTCTTGCGAGCAAGGCTGAGCAGACATCTCAGAGGCTGCTGGGAGCAGCGGCTCTGGTGGTTCTGAGGCCGAGGCCCACCACTCATCCCCAGGCGGCGGGAGCCCTAGAGGCGCCTCTGCCCCAGGGAGGCGCCACCCCGGGAGTCAGCGGAGGTATGGGGGCGGCTCTGTGGGAATGCCTGGCCCTGAGAAAGGGGGTCTTCCTGACACTCTCCCCGCTGGGGCCTCTGACACAGAGGTGCCCTGCTGCCTGGCTCTGGGCAGCGCCGCCCTCCACCCAAGACAGGAAGTCGGCTTGTGCACCAGTCATTGACCAACGTGCCGAGTCCCCGCGTGCCAGACACTGTGCACCAGGGTCTGGGCAGTGAGGCCCAGGCTGACCCGGCTCCGCAGGGTGGCCTCTGGCCTTCCCGAGGACAGGCCGCAAGGGAGAGTGAAGTGTCGCAGCGGAAGCTCATGGAACTGGCACAATGTCATCTACTTTGCCAGACTCTTATGAGGATTAAATAAAATAGTGCACTTAACACCCAGAAGATGCTCCACAGTCGGTACAGTACCAATCAGGTGCGGAGGGTTATGAAACGCTCCCCTACGTTAGGAGCCTGGGGGATGAGGTTGCCTGTTTCCCGGCTCCCCCCGCCGCCCCAAGCTGAATTTCTAAACACTGGCCTATCATTTTAAGTATTTAGGATATTATCATCAAACTTACAATCACAAATATCCAGCGAATAAATTATTGTTTTATTTCCCCCTGCATTTTGCCATCAGCTTTTTATAG